CTCTTGCAACAGAAATCGCTCTCTGTCCAGCCCCATCTAGTGGAAAGAGAGCCTCAAATCATCTGCAGCCCTGCCATGAGGCAATGCACCTTCTGGCAAAAGGGGCTGTCACTATGATGCCTGACCCTTCTTGCAAGGATCTAAAGGAGCATCTACTCCCTCTGCTCTAACCTATGTGTGCGACATCCTCCCCTTTCAGACAGTTGGGGGGGGGGGGAGAATACAAAAATAAGACTTTTCCACACCACCTTGCCTTTCCCAGAAGAGATGACAGCATCAAGGTGAGCACAGGAAGGCAAGAGGGGATATTGAAAGGCCAGGAGACCAAAGCAAATCGAGAGCTGGGAATGGTTCCCAGGCCTTTTAAGACCCTTAGGTCTGGGCTGGACTCTAGTAGTTTCCAAACACTGCCTCATGACAATAAGTAGCAAGTGAGGCCAGAAGCTTCTGTCTAGAAAGCTGGTCCAGAAGATACAAATCCCCAACCACCATGACCTAACCCAAGCAGCAGGGGCATCTGGTCAACTCCACCCTGTTCCTAAATTCGTATCACCAGATTGGCAACTGACTTAAAATGTGATTGACCTTGGAGAAAAACTAGTGTAAATAAAAGTTGAAAGTGTGTAAGATATTGTCCTCATCCCTGATAAGGGTGACCAGACCAAGGCTTCATTCTGCTGCCAGAGGAAACACAGAACAATATTTTTAAAAACAAGCTGAAAATGGTCCCCAGCTGCATATAAATGGCCTACCCAATTCTACGGATTCTCTGAGATAATAAATTAAGTAAACTTCTGTGTACCAGTCTGGCAACTTAACCATCAAGCTTTGTTCCAGCAGGAAAACAAGTTCACAGTTATAAACAAGATTTACAGGCTGGGCGTGGTGGTGCAGGCCTGTAATCCCATCACTTGGGAGACCGAGGCAGGAGGATCATGGTGAGTTCCAGGCCAGCCTGAGCTACAAAGTGAGCTCAAGGCCAGCCTAAACTGCACATTGAGACCCTGTCTCAAAAAGACAAAAAAAAAATACTTACAGATACATCTCTGGAATGTAACCTATTTCTAAGATGGGGACTGACCAAATTAATATTTGGAATATAATGCCTATATTTTTATTGTTGGCATAAACTGGTATAATAATAAATACCAGGTACCATTTTCAAATTATTCCCTCTTCCTCTGGAAAGACTTCCTTACTAATCTTAAAGCAGCAGATTGCTCCTACCCAAGCACTTCTTTGCCTATCCTTTCCCCTTAAGCGTACTTGGCCTGCATGTAGCAGGGGACTGCCACTGGGAGAGGAGGCAGAGATGGGAGAATGAGGAGAGCAATTACCCAATATGCTGAGAATTAACTGTGGCACAGACACGTGGTTGTCAGCATGGGCTGGCGTGGCAGTTAGGGTGCAATATAAACTTGACTGGCTTTGGGATCATGCAGGGGATTTATGGAGCACACTTCTGGGTGAGTAATGAAGGCATGGCCTTCAGGTCTTTGGTTCCTGGCCTCTTTCTCTCTAGCTCTGTTCCCCTGCTCTGCTTTCCAGCCACATCGTGGACTTCCATCATAATGTTTCTGCCTTGGAGCTGGCCGTCCATGTACTGAAATCCCCTGAAACTGTGAGCCAAATTAAACCTCTCCTCCTTTAAATTGTGGATGCTGGATACTGTAAACCAGCAACAGGTAAGCTAATACTACTGCTGTTCAGAGCACCTTCATGCATACTTCCTTTGCTAGTGGCCTAAGTTAACACTATGTAGCTACATCCTCAGTTAGACTGCAAACTCCTTGACATCAGGTGCCATTACAAATCACAGAAACCACCCAGAGGCCTACGGATACCACTAGGACATACTACACCCTAAATGTAAAAGCATAAACACATGATACACACAGCACCACAATGAAATGTGGACTGTGGGAAGGCATTTTGTCTCACTCCATCAGCCAGCTAAAAAAGTGACTCTTGCACACCAGCATCAAGATTCAAGTCAATGCATCAGCAAAATAAGAGATCTATATTGTGGCTTCCAGGGCCACTGAAAATAAGCCAAAACTCTGAATGGCATGTACATGTACAACAAGTCCACTCTGTTTCTTTTTAACTATTTTTAAAAATTGAGCCCTGCTAGTAGGATGTAGCAAACCCTGGTACACAAGAATCCACTTACTGAATGTCTGCAATATCTTCTTGGTTATATGCAATACACATAAAGAATCTGTCAAATGAAGAAAAAGCCTGGTATAAATGTGACTGAGGTTAATGGCTATGGGGGATGGGCTGAAGCCAAGAAAACACCCACTAACCTTAAGTTCCCTGCTGCGGACACCTAGACACATCACTCAATTCCAAATCTTTATTCAGGTAACTCCAAATACACTAGCCCTCATATGTTCACTTACCAAACTTACTGTGGAGAATATTCATGGGCACTACAAAAACAAAAGGTAACATGGCCAAATAAAAGTGATCTAAAGAGATCTTATTAAAGTGCTCCTCACCATTTACATGCCAGTGTGTGAATTTCTAGAAGGGATACAATCATACCAGGCTTCCCGCATCTAACTATTCATACACACACCCACTTTTTGATGTGGTTTTTGTTGGACCATGTCCCAAAATTAGTTTTTTCAGAGACTACACTTTGAACAGCACTCAGTACCTTAAACAAATACCGTTGATGAATCTCAGGAAAAAAACCTTAAAACCTAAACCTCCCTTATTTTGGCTGGGCACTCCTCTTCTGTAATTCACTGTAGAAGTGTTACCCCTACTTTGCTGAGGAGTCTAAAATAAAATAAGCAGAAATATGATTGGTAAATGCCAATGAATTCAGTGACTATGACAGTCCTCGATGAGGCACATGCACCTCATAAAGTATCTAATTACAGGTGAGTTCTTCCAGGACCTGAATTTATTCCACCTATAAAGAAAAACCACCCCTCCACCCCCACCCCACCCGCAACACGCACCAGCACTGCAGAGAAGCATCAGCATTCCCCAGGCACTTGTTAGAAATGCACAGTCGAAGAACTAGGACAGTGACAGCAAAGCTTTTAGGGCCTTCAAGGATACAAACAGCCGGCTGCGGCATGCATGCCACAGATTCACCACCACTGGACTAGGATGTATCAGCACTAATGCACTTGCCTGGCACTCACCCTGCAAGCACACGTAGATAGAGAAACTGCTCTCTTTGTTCAAGGCCTTTCACCCAAGAACCTAGGTTCTTCCTGGCCAGATTTTAGAAGCATTTTCTTTCCTTTTTTTTTTGGTACTGGGAATTGAACTCACGACCTCACATTTGCCAGGCAGGCACTGTGCCAGAGCTACATTCCCCAGCCCTCTGGCCAGATTTTGTATGTTCCTTTCTTTGTGAAATGGGATCTTTTGGTGTTGCCCAGCCTGGCCTCAAATTCCTGGATTCAGGGATCCTACTGCCTGTCTCAGCCTCCTGAATATCTGGGATTATTATTACCACTGCACTTGACATATATTCTCTTTTTAAACAAAAAGGCAAAAGGATCCATCCATAGTGTGCTGTTAAATCCACACCCTTTTGTTAACTTAAAAGGCAGGAAGGAAAAATGGAAGGAAGAGAGGGAGGAAGGGAGAAAAGCAGGAAGGGAGGGAAGCAGGTAGGTAGGTAGGTGGGTTACATACACAACTCCACCCCAGCTCCCTCCCTCATTATCATCATGATTGTACAAGCAGCCCAGCCCCTGTGCATCTCCTGTTGCCTAGCAATGCTCAGGTGCATCCTTTTTCCAAAGTACTCTCAAGAAACTGAACACTAGCACAAAACAAGGTAAAACAATCAAAAGAGGAGGTTTGTAGTATGTGCCACATCTCAGGAGATAGTTTACATGCACTAAGAAGGCCTGAGTGTGAGGCATGACTCCATACAGGTCCCGACCCGTGTCCTAAATGCACATGACCAGGAGATTCACAAGGCTAAAGCAACGTTCTATCCACAGAGTACATCTGTAGAGATTATCTTACTTGCTGTCATAACAATGAATAAGAGAACGAACTACCTGAGTTCAGTGCCCAAGGAAGCAGAAGGACACCAAGTAAGTACCTGCTCAAGGCCACACAGTGCTGCAGAGTACCAGGGGGAGAGGACAATTTTCTGCCTCTGAACTTTTCCCCTTGTGCCAAGTACTGACTTCCATCTTCCCTAACACCCACTTCTAGGAAACCCACCAATGTGGAAAGATCTCTCCCTCACACTAGAAATGAAGTGTAAAACTGATACCACTATGGTTCAAAGACGCTTCCAACAAAATCTATGAATTGTTCTCATAGAATTTCTACAAAGATAGTTACTAATAGAGAATCTCACCCTTCATATGTTTGAGGAAGCTGCTGTACCCTGTGGGGGGAAAAAATGCCAGCACAGAAAACTGTGATTATTAGTTAGAACAGTAAAACCAATTAAGAAATATACTTTGGCCAGGGACAGAGCTCAGCGACATAGCACCTGCCTGACAGGGGTGAGGTCCTGAGTTCAATTCCCAGCATCAAAAAAAAAAAAAAAAAAAGTGTATATATATATATATATATACACACACACACACATGCACACATACACACACACACAGATAGATTTAGATATAGATATATCTGCAACCTATGTATTTACAAAGGAAAAACTAAGCATGTAGAAAACACACTGTTTACTGAACTGTTTTAAAGGCAAAGCAATGCCAGAGGAGGAAAATGATCAAACTGACAAGAAAAAACTTCTTACAATCAAGAGCTCATAAACTTGTGGCTCATTAGCACAGGCTATTTTTGTTCTGATTGTAGTCTACCAACGGCCAGGATAACTACACCCTATTTGCAATACAACACTGTTACAGTACTATTATGTGCCTAAAGACACCTGGCACACAGGGATCTAATGGTAAAATTACGGTAATTCCTAGTATTTCTCAGTATTCGTAACTGAGCCAATCAAAGACACTTTCCTCATGCTTCATGAACAAACTTACCCGCCTCTCCAGTGCTGCTGACTGTGGGCAGAGATCTTGTAAGGAAGTGCTCGCTCACCCAGGTTTTCCAAGTTTCGTACTATGGCTCCTCTATCCATCAGGGCTTCTATTGTACGTTTCAAAGCAGCAGCAGTCTCTGGCTGTTTTTTGTTTTTGTTTTTAAAGAGAAAAAAAAAAAATCCATGAGAGTCAATATGAGAACCAGAATGAAAGTCCAGTTAGTTCCAACCCTAACAGCTCTACTGGTAGGAATCTCTGGGTAAAAGCAACAGAAAAAAAGTTTTGAATTAAAAGAGATGCTTTTATAGTAAGGATACAAGATATCTCACAGGTGTGAAGGAAAATCTGGAGAACCAGGCTTCGAAGAGTTCAGGAGTCAGAGCAGCTCCAAGGATCTGGAAGGCAGGAACTAATGAGTGGCTTCTTCAGAGCACCTCAGCAGGGCTCAGCCAGTGGAATCACTGTCACTTCTTGTAGCTCACGACTCAAAGTTCCAGGAGAAGAGCATCCTGTTGGCAGGCCACCTTAGTTTACCACTCCACCAAAACCACAGCCAACGGCGAAAGGCAAAGGGAGTTGTTCCCAAAGAAAAACGGGAAGACTCTAACTGAAAGGGGAAGAACAAAACTGTTTCTGCCTTCATGGAGCTTACCACCTATTAAAGGGCTTACACAAATATACATGTTAAGACCAAAAGGCAGAGAACCAGAAGGCTTATGGAACAAACACACTCAGCTGGGTAAGAGCTTAGTTAAGGAAAGCTTACCTGACAGCAGCCCCGTGAAGACTAGAGATAAAATGAACCAAAGAATCAGGAAACAAGTAAAAGAGCAAGAGCAGCAAAGTATGAGTGGACTAACGAAAGAACTGGGAGTGCCAGAGGCTGAGGTCAAGGAGGACTAAGAAGGAAATCAGCAGACCATGTACAAGAATGTAAGTAATAAAGGTCTGTTACAAAAACTAAAATTCAGACAATATACAAACCTGATCATCCAGAGATAAGACTTAACATTTTGGCAGATTTCTTTCCCAAATATATCTCCATGCATACACACAAATAAAAAATGTTGGAAGAAACAATACAAAGATAAACCTAGAAAGTCCAACTACTGCAATGTGGAAAGTGAGGGTGAAAAGTGAGAAAAGGGGTCATCCAAATCTGGTGGTTGAAGAATAAGCCTGTCATTAGCTGCTGAAAAAAAATCTGGAGAATCTGTCAAGGGACAGTGAAAAGAAGTGGGATTAGGACATGCTGAGTCTGAGATACCATAGCTCCCTAAGCTGACCTCTCAAGATGTCAACATTAAGGTTAAAACTCAGGTAGGCTACATATACATGTTTTAGTCATCCACACAGAAGCTACTGGAGGCCTGAGAAGGTGAGCTCATCGTAGCAGGTCAGAGAGGGAGGAGAGGAAACCAACAAAACTTTATAGAGAACACAGACATTTGGAGGCTGACAAGAGGACCTGAAGTCAGAGAAGCAAACTTAAAACACACACGCAAGCAGGACAAGGAAAAGCAAGAGCTTGCTTTGTCACAGGAAAGTAAAGAAAGGCAGACTCCAGAAGAGAAAGGCTGAGAATGGAGATAAAGAGCTTCAGGGCAGTGACTGCACAGCAACTTAGCAAGACAGGGCCAGAAGGTAGAGGGCAAAATTTCCCAAGGTAGAGGTACAGGGCCATGACAAAGAACACCGAACTTGTGGGGCAAGCAAGTCTAAGTGAAGTGTAAGAGAACAGGAGAGAAAACATATGAGCAAATCAGGAGTTGAGGAGGAATAAACCAAGTCAAGAGGTTAAAATGTAGAATTTTTGAACAACAGTGATGATAGTGACCATGTATGTCTGACTGGTATAGGCCTGACACTGATGTAGTGTTCTATTTGTACGTATTTGACTTTTACTAAAAAAAAGTTTACAGGTTTGAAATTGGGCCTGCAAGAGATACCAAGGCAAAGCAGCTAGTAAGTGGAAGAGCTTGCTACAAGGAAAAGGAAACCTGCCGAAGCACAACTGAAGAACACAGAGGCACAGCAGAGACAAAAGCAACAAATGCAAAAGGGAAGAGAGACAATCCAGGTGCAAGATTTTGAAGTGCAGGAAGGAACTTAAGAAAATGCTACCTTCCCATGGTTCATTTTGCATCAAAAAGTGTGGAACAAGTATACATGTGTATTCTGGCAACCACAGAAAATCAACTATATAAATTTTCTTTCTGACAAATACTGCAAGGACAATACGAATGCACAGGGTATTGGTTAAAGCTTACAAAGAAAATTTTTTACTTTAATTTCATATTGCAGCCCACCATTGATTTAAAATAATCCTGACGAAAATATTTATTGATATATTTAACCAATCTTATGATGAAACAATGAGTTTTCCAGAAAACAAAATCACAGTTAAAATCAATTCCCACTAATGTTAGCTAGGTAAGAAGGCTATGGCAATTTCTCCTTATGACAGCATTGAGTAAATATGGTTCTAATCACATGAACACTGAAATTCTTCTCACTTTTCATTAATTCACAAAGACATTTCCTTACTTCTGCAGGAGCCTCATTATTAACAGCAGGATATTTCATTTCAGTAAAGATGCTGACTCTTGACCTGGCATGGCATCAATTAACTTAGAATGCACTGGATGAACTGCATATCCAAATGAAGAATCCAGGCCTAAGAAAAATGAGCAACTTTGGCTGACTCAGTCTTTTGATTAGTTATCAAAATCCTTAATTTTCAGTTTTGCTTGATTAAAAAGGAATATATCTCATTATCTTTTGTCTTGTTTAAATTTCAACTGAAGTGTTTACAATGCACAACAGGGAGTACCTTCTTCTGAAATAAGAGCCTATGAAATAAAAAAGATTTTCTTCCTACATTTGTTCAAAAAAGGGGATAGCTGCCTCAAAAGAATGTAACTTATGAAAATATCAAAACCTATTTTGTTAAGCCGGGCATGATGGCACACACTTGTAATCCCAGCACTTGGAAGGCTGAACCAGGAGGATCGCTGCAAGTTCGAGACCATCCTGGGCTACAAAGTGAGCTCAAGGCCAGCCTGAACTGCATAGCGAGGCCCTGTCTCAAAAAAAAAAAACATATTTTGTTGACTCTGGTAAGTCAAGGTCAAATTGTAGACTGCCCGAATGGTCATACTCATTTCACTGTGGTTTCAAATTACCCAAATTATAGGGACTGAAGGAATAATGTAGGAGTTCATTAGGGTTGCTCAACATGTCCCATATACCTTACTTCACAAAAGCAGGATCAGCAAACCAGAGCCCATGGACCACATGCAGTGCATTACCTGTTTTTGCAAATAAAGTTTTACTGAAATAGTCAACACATACATTTGCATAGCGTCTATGACTGTTTCTGTGCTTAAAGGCAGATCTATACAACAGAGACTATATGACCTCAAAGCCTCAATTATTTACCATCTGGCCAACTCTGCTCTACACTGTGATAGGCTGAAGAAGCTAGCAGCCCTCAAGCCACTCACCAGGAAATGCAACAAAAATAAAACCATGAGCCTGAACAAGATTCCAGTCCTAGCTTATTCACTAATGAGTTATAAAGCCTTGGACAAACACCTAAGACTTACTGATTTTGCAGTCATGCCTTAGTTCCTCCTGATAAATTAGTGGTTCTCAATTTTTGTATTTCTACAAGCCTCACATGAACATTCCCACTGCAATTCTCAACATCTCCTGGGGCATACAGTTTTATAAAAGTCTCACTCTGTTCTTTATGCCCCCCATTCTGAATCATCATCATCTAAACCGTCCCTTCCAACAGAGGTGATTCTGAGATCATTCTCATTTTAGTTCTAACCACACTTGTGGCAATCAGTAAATATTCTTTCACTAACTAGAATGTAAGCTTTAGAAGAGCAAGGACCTTTATTTTGCTCACAACTATTTCCAGAGTGTAACACAGTCTGCATCATGGAAGTTATGTTCAAAAGTAGTCAAGTGAATTAATCTATTCATCATACCTTCCCCCAAGAGCATCTCTTTCTCTTGCTTCCTTATTCCTGTCTTTTCTCAAGGAACCCTAAGTTTCATCCTGTTTCTAATACAATGTGAAGCTATTGTCCATATACAACAATGCATTTACAATATTAGTGTTTTCCTACTTGCTTTATATTGTACTAAAGGCTGCAATACTGATACTATATCTCAAAAAGTTCCAAGCCAAGCATGATGCCACATGCCTAAAATCCCAGCTACTGGGGACGCTGAGAGAAATAAAATTAAAGGACTACAGATGTAACTCAGCACTAAAGCACTTGCCTAACATATCTGAGGCCCTTGGTTCAATTCCTAGTACTGAAAAACCACCACACAAAAAAAATCCAGAATTTCATCTACTAGAAATGAAACTAAATGCAAACACATGTAACTTAATACTGGTGGCAGTACATTCTGAGAAAAAAATCACTACGCACTTTTATTGTGGCACGAACATATTTACACAAACTAAGAGCAAGAGCATTACCAGGCCACATAATCTATGATATCTTATACACTGTCCATCATTAAATGAAATGTTACGTGAAAATATTAAACATTTCATGCATTCCAGAAATACAGAGTTCAAATATACGTAGAAATACAAAAGTGGAAAGTTACATTGGTCTTACAAAATGAACAGTATAACTACTGCCCCTCTCCAAAAACCCAAATCAAAGTACAGTATACTGAGATCCCCCAACCCTCCACCACATCACAATGCTATCATCAAGAAAAAATAAATAAATAAATACCGGTAAGGATGCAGGGGAGGGAAAAGGGGAGCCCTTCTGCACTACCCGTGTGAAGATAAATTAGTCCAGCCATTATGGAAACCCGTATGCATATCCATGTTTACTGCAGCACAATTCACAATAGCCAACATATGGATCCAGCCTAGATGCCCATCAGGATATGAATGGATAAAGGAAATGTGCTATATTTACACAATGGAGCACTACTCAGCCGTAAAGAAGAACAAAATTCTGTCATCTGCAAGATGGATAGATCTGAAGGCCATCATGTTGAGCAAAATAAATCACTCAGGCACACAAACTGTAAACTGCCTGTTCTCCCTAGTATGTAGTCTAAAAATGGTTCCAAGAAGAAGAATGAAGACTAC